ACTAGCTTGGACAAAATGCTGCACATTTCTTTGTGAAATTGAAATATAACACTACAATAATATACTAATATAGCACTTGCATATTATTGCACTTTTGTTGGTTTTGATTGCTTCTATTGTCCTCATTTGTAAGTCGCTTTGGATAAATGCGCCACTGATGACGCTCCCTGATGCACACCTAACATTCAAATGCAAATGTTTATTTTAAATTCGACTAATATTCATTCTTTATTCACAATCTCCTCATCACAGGCAGGCACAGCACTCATTTCAGCATGTGTTTGTGTTTGTGTGTGCTGTCTGCGTCACTCATAGCACGTGCCTATATCATGCGCTATATCGAACATTTTTTATATCGATATCGAAGAAGGTGTACCGTCAATAAATATCGATACCGTTTTATCGCCCAGGCCTAATTAATGCATTGAGATTTGTTGTTCCTTTGTGGAGTTCAAACACTTAATAGTTTGGTTGCCAGCTTTCATATTAAACATCAAACGGTGTTCATCTGGTGCAGTGAAGCTTGTTATGCCTTTTGCAGGTGTTCTTCAAGGAAGCCAATGTAAAACAGATTGATGTCCCAACACTGACAGGTGCCTTTGGTATCCTCCCAGCCCACGTCCCCACACTGCAGGTGCTCCGGCCCGGCGTAGTCACCGTCTTCAATGACGATGATTCCTCTACTAAGTATTTCGGTGAGTTCTCTAGTGCTGTTTTACCAACCGTTATAATGCTCACTTCTTGTGGCTATGGTTCCATCAATTTTCTCCCTAGGGATTTTTGAAAAATCCAAACCAACCAGATCTGAGATAAATTGCAGTATTTGAGTCAAAGCAAAATCATTTACAGTGGTGACCGTGACTTTCCAAAAACATAGAAACAGGTTTTTAAAATGGTATTTTAGTATTTCAACTTACTTGCAATGAAAATAGTCAAGGAAGCTGGCATGACATTAAAACACCAAGCAACCAACCAACCAATGACTTTCCATGAGGATCATTTCAGCAGCATGGTGGTTATTAATTTATTTCTTGAAGTGAAAAATTACTTTCTTGTTTTTAGCAACCATAGAGCAAAGGGTAGATATCACTTTATATAAATGTTATCTTTCTGTATATAAATGATCTTTTTTTGTTTATCCCTTATCTCATTTTACATTTACATAGACATTTATGCATTTGCCAGACACTTTTATCAAAAGCGGCTTGTTGCATTTTAATATTTCATGCATTCCCTGGTAATTGAACCCATGACTTTGGTGTTGCTAGTGCCATATTATTTACTGTTTAAATGTTTATTAACATACTTATTTTTGATTTGATCCTGTTCTGAAACTCTCACATGGCATCAAACTACCAAACTTAAACTAAAATGAGCTAAAAAGTCAGATATTTCGCTTTTTATATATTAAAAGTCATTTTAGTTTTGGTAATTTTCAGAACACTAATTTGACCTTTATTTAATTGAAATCTAGTCTGATTGGTCATACCTGACCTGATTAGTTAATATGATTTAATTTGGAAGGAGTGCTGTTAAAAAGATGAGAAGACATTTGATATGATTTATAAATTATAATGCATGTTAATTATAGAAACACTTGCAAGGAAAAATAAAATAGGTGATGGATTTGACTGTGACTTGTGGGTATTTTAGCCCTCATTAGCACACTTCAAAAGGGAGTGATTCAGATTTGTAATATGATTTTCTGTGGTGAAATAAGCAGATTAAAATGGGATCCACCATAAAGACACATTTGCGACACACTGATTCCTTTAGTAGACAACCTTTAGTTTTAGATATTCGTCCAGAAGGGGTCAGGCTTGTCCTACAAAGGAGAGCCTTTTCAAGCATCAACGACATAACTCTTGAACTCTCATCCGTGCTTGAGATTAAATGTGGTTTGTGCTTTGCAGTGAGCAGCGGATCAGTCACCGTCAATGCCGACTCTTCAGTGCAGCTGCTGGCGGAGGAGGCCGTTCCTCTGGACAGCCTGGACCTCGCAGTGAGTCCCTGCTATGCTGTTATCTCAACGCAGGGAATAATTGGAAAACTCATTCAAGCATGGCTCTGTTCTCCACTTTTTACACTCCAATACATTCCTGATGTATTTGTTTTAGTTAGAAATGCATCACATTATGGAATAAAAATGGGTTACGAGTGCCATTTCAAGAATGAAAAGGACAGGTGTTTTGAGTTTTCATAATACTAGAAAACAAAGACTGTTTAGAATATAATAGAGGATTGTTTAATGAGTTTAAATCTGTATAGCCGTGCCGTATTTGAAAGAACTGGTTCGAAAACGCCCTATTATCTGTCTACTTGCCTTTGTAGTCACCCGTTTATAGGATTATCATTTAAATCTAGCATTTGAAATTATATCAAGCCACCCTTTGATTGTATTCATGCTATTTATCCTCCACACTACATCATTAAATAGATATACAACGGTCTTCATTTTCTGTTAGTCACCGCTTTCTCAGAACGAGTCAAACGTTCGGAATGACACACCGAAAATGAGCTCATTCCAAAGGGGATGTTCTCGGACATGCCCTTTTTCCGACACGGAATAAAGAGCACTTTCGGGTTCATTCCACATAAATAGGCCGCTTTTTATTCTTCCTAGAGATAGTTGTGCTTGGGGGGCCTCACTGGTTAATAAGGAAGGAAAGGTCAGTCACCGTTGAAGTGGTGCAGATGTGTCAAATCCCCACTGAGAGACCTTTAACTCCCAGCAATGTTTGGCCTTTACACTGTGTAATCGCCACTGTGACAAATGTCCTTCACAGGAAAGATGCCACGTTTACTTGCTCACACTGTTGAGAAAATGGCCCGTGCTAGTCTAGAATGTGGCTCAAGTAGCAGTAGCATTGATTTTTAAGGCAAAGATGAGTTTTCTCACTTATAAGGTGCACTTCAAGATATTGAAGTTCTCGGATCTGTACTACACTGGCACCTTTTATAATGTCAGCTGTTATAGATTGAATTGTCGCCCTACACATCAGTGTCAAGATTACAGTGAATGTGAACCAAATGTCAGGAGTGCCATGTCTTTTGTGCAGGCGGCGAAAGCGAACCTAGAGAAATCCCAGTCGGAACTGGGGGGCGTTTCAGATGAAGCAGCAAGGGCCGAGGTTCTGATCAGCATAGAGGCAAACGAGGCAATCGTCAAAGCATTGGAGTAAACGATTTGGGTTGGTATGTACACATTTTAGACATATGCAGGACCCACACATATTATACAGTATAATTAATGTTATTTATGTCAAATTTCTCATTTTGTTTCTCAGTAGAATATTCTGTCTGTTTGAAAAGGTCTCCGGCTTTGTCTGTTCCCCACCCCAGTGAAGTCAGAAACCGCAAGACTTAACTGCTTGCTTTGTACAGTGGATGAAATTAACAATAAATTTATTTGAAATAACACACTGTGTCACTTTAATGTTCTTTGCCTTTCACAAAATTAATTTAAGCTGTATTTGCTGGCTATGAATTTGTTTGATGATGAATGCAGTACTGTTCATGACAGAAAGGGGGCAGTATGGTACTGTTCAAACCTCCAAGCCGTTTGCCAAGGAAACTGGAGCGAATCAATTCATCTTTATTATTCAGTCAATGGCACTATTTTTGTACAAAATATACTATTTTTACTCCATTATTTTTTTTCCCGCATTTTCAAGCCTTGTAGCCATTATGCTAATTGTCGGTCTAAAGTTGTATTCATATGCATTTTCTAGATCCCTAAAAACTGATAAACAATTGGTTTAAGGCACTCACAAGCCACAGCTACAGAGTTAGAAATACAGCTAGTCTATGCAGCCAGAAAAAACATCCTACAGACAGTGGACATTGTGGTGTAAAAGTCTAGAATTTGCTTAAGTACAGGGTAATTTTACATGGCCGCTCCAGAGCTATAAGCATGTGCTGACTGGAGTTTTACGAGACTAAACCACATGCGTCTTTATGAACGTCAGACGTCTATCGTGGCAACATGCTGCAGCTTGCTCCAGTAGCACATGTACAGAATTGGCAGTGAACAAGAAAGGAGTCATTCTTTGCTACGAGAAGTTGTTTTTTGGGTGATAAGCTCACTAGTTTGTCTAAATTGTTCCTTGCACTGCATAACTTACATGTCTACTGAATATTTGTGATGAAATGTTTTTAAAAAGTTGACTAAATAGCATGAAAACCATAGCTAACAATGAAGATTTATGGCAAATTTGTACTTTTTTTACATTCTGGTTGTGTCAAAAATCTGTGTTGCAAAGACTGAAATAAGAACCACAAGGTCCTATTTATGTCACACAACATTTCCCTTGTTGCCATATTTTGTTCCTACAGCTCGAGTGTGAGTATAGCCTCTATTCTTAAACTTACTCTAGTCCTAATTACCGTTCTGCAGTCTTGAGAAAGGGCAGTTTTAGGTCAGAAGTCCCGCCCTAGCAAAAACTCTTCATAATTTTTTTTATAAACCTCTGTATGCAGATATGCAACTTTAGGAACAAGATGTCCTGCATCAAGGGTTTTGAAGAAACAGTATCCCAGATTGATACAAAATGATCTAGCAATGTCCATTGTTATAATATTTCAATTTATTACAATTATCACAAACACTGGTTTGCAAAGCAAATAGTTGTACTATTTATTGCATTTTGTTATTCTTCTGGTTATTTACCTATAGCTATAGTACTTATAATGACTAATGAATCAGAACCCTCATGCAAGAAAATAGCTTACTTCTGCATTGCAAATAAAGTAGCTAGGACATGTGTCCAGTTCTGCCACCTTCATGCAGTTTAATTCCAATCTGCTTCAATGCAGCTGCCCAAAGACTTTGGTTAGATGGTTCAGGTGTGTCTAACCAAACCAGTGCTGTCCAATCCTGCTCCCAGAGGTCAAATTTAGCTTCAACACACCTGTCTGAACGTTTCCTTAAGACCTTGATTAGCTGGTTCAGGTGTTTAATTGGGCTGAAGCTAAACATATCTGAAAGGTGGCTCCCCAAGAGCAGGATTTGACACTCTTGAGCTGAACTCTGCAGGAATGGTGTTCCCAGAGAAGAATGGGACACCTCTCTTGCTTAGGTGTAACAATCATGCTTCAGATGTTTGTAGGAAGACGGACAGTTGTAAGAAAGTGCTGCTAGAAGCTCTGACCTTGTTTCGCTTACAGTCTGCACAGCTTCAGACTCTCAGGTGGCTGCGAGATACTGCATGCAAGCTGGGAGTGGGCGCAGAGGCCTGACACTCCCGCCTACACAGACATACGGACCAGCGCAGATCCGCGACCAGTTCTGTAGTTACTGGAACTGATTAAGGCTGGAGTTCCGAGAAATGCAGCTGGTCTTAGGTCAGTCGTTTAGGACGGTTTCTCGATGTAGACCCTACACCACATCCTTTTTTATCGCTCTCACCCACACATGCATAGGTGTCTACAAATAGAACCTAGAGCAAGCATTCAAGAGAAACCTGCAAATCCACAGCACACCTCAAAACCTTTTGGTTGAACTTTGTCAGCTTTGCTCTAGTGATAAACATCTTGATTGACATTTCAAGTAATCAATTGTACATGTGGACATTTAGGATAGCATCCACTCATAGCTCTTTCATAACAGTCATATTGAATATACTTCTTGTTAGGCATTTTGCTTGTGGTACTGAACAGAATAACAAAAATTATGACTCCCCTGGTCTTTTTTTTTTGGCTGGTTACCATTGACCAGTTAGTCCCTGCTAGCCAATGTCGTAAGTAGACCATATGGCTGCATATATCTTTCCAGAGAGATTAGTTACCTGGCATTTACTTCCGTTAGTTCAAGCTTAGCAAGTGAAGTGAATGGGAATGTTAACCGCTAACTTTCTGTATTATAGACGCATTTGGTTCGGAACACAAACACACATAATCCTTCACAAACCACGTCAGAAAGGTAGGACACACTTTTTAATTATTGCTTGCAAATAAACCCTGTTACTGCTGCAGTAAAGCAAAGGTTGTGCTAAGTCTTTGTATCTCCCTCAGGCTAACAGTGATGTTTGTGGCGGTCTTGCGTTCCACCGAGCAAAGTGTCACATTCCAGAAGGGTGAGGTTGTTAAATCGGTTGACTGGGAAAGCGAGGGTGAGGCGTGGGCACTGGGGTCTCTCACAGAGTAAAACCCTGTCCACAAACTCTACAGTACGGTTTTCGTAAAACCATGTTTGACTGCTCATAATATGTCCATTCATATTGTGTACTGTAAAGGTTTAAACAATGTCTGTCCAGAGAACCTGAGGTGCATTCATTTTGAGGAGGCAGCGAAACTACCTTTGTAAGGCGCATCAAGAAATGACTTGACAGTTAACAAAACCTTCCTCCTAAACTTGCCAGAATCCAAAGACTTTCTGTGCAGTCTCCAGCATATGAATCCATGTCACCTAGAAGCGTCTAGTCTTAAACTTACCAATCAAAAAACACTTTCCTTCTCCGCCCCCATCGCTTTTTCCCACGTAAGGTATCCAGCTGGAAAACAGCTCAGATTTTTCCCCTTAAGTGCAAAACTTTGCCCCTTAGAATGCATTACATTAGCAGAATCAGCACTGCATGGAAAACCAATTGGGGGGAAAACCCAGTTGTCATACAGACATACTATTTCCCTAAAAAAGTAAACTCGCACGTCTGTGCATGAATCTGTACTCTCAAAGTAGCGCCTCTTGATTGATAAAAAACATTGAGTTGAGTGCACACAAAATCAGAAGACTGCAGGGGCAACATTCCAAGTGAACACCGTACAATCAATTGACAATATAAGAACAGGGTTTTTTTACACTAAAATGTAAATGCTTTATGCTTTAGAGGTGGCGTATTAGCAATCCCAGGTTCTTAAGTTTGATTCCCACGGGACAGCCAAGCTGATAAAATGTAGCCTTTAAAGGCAGAGTAAGTGATTTCTGGTAGCCAATGTTGATATTTGAAATCACCAAAACAAACACGCCCCTACCCCAAAAGGGTCTTGCCCCTATTTTGATAGCTCCGCCCCACATATACGTACGCAACCCAGGCAACGTTTAGTTCTGTGAAACAAAGCAAAACCAATGTTACACCGTGTCTACGGACGTGAGCGGCGCGGCGCAACAAATCCCCGACAGAAACTGCTGCCGGGTTCTATTTATGACGTGCTGACACAAATTTCAAATGGTTTTCAACGGTCGTTTGATCGCGTCCAGTGTAGGCAGACTTTAGCTGTAGACACGGTGTTACTCACCTATTGAGAAGAAACAAAGCAACCTCGGCGTCCGATCGCAGGCCTCCGCTCCTTGAGTTCTCTCCAGCGCTGGAAAGCTGATCCGATATTTACACGGGTCCTACTTCTTGCCTTATCGTTCCGCAGACGTTTTCTTCTTTTGTTTTTTATCTGCCATCTCTATCTTTCTGTCGCTCGACTCGGCTAATGTCCGTCCCATGCACTGAAAGCTCTCTCCTCCACATCACGAGTAGACACGCCCCTTATTGCTGATTGGCTACAAGTTTGTTTTGCTATTCGGCCCGAATCAGTTTTCTAAAGTGTTTTTGAAAAATCACATACCCTGCCTTTAATGCACTGTAAAGGGCCATTCACATTGAATGTGTTTTGCGTTCCACTGTGCTGCTTTTAAATAGCTTTTCCTATGTTAACTTGCATTAGATGAATGTGTCTGACCATTGCACTTGCATCTTTTGCAGCATCTCGTGCATGACACAGCATTCTAAAAATGCAGTGCTCAGGTTAAAATCAACTTTTCAAAAAACATCTCTAGACCTTGCTCTTTTTTTATTTTTATTTTTTATTACACTGCCCTGCACCTGTGTCATGCAAAAACGTGTTCTGTGCAAATGGCCCCCGCAGGCCCCTAAGTCAATTTCTATCAATCACTTTGCACATCCTCCCGATGGTGTACGTACACATGCATCAGATGCTATTGGTCATTGCATGATGGCTCTGCTACATTTTTAAGTCAACTTTAAAAGTTAAAAAAACTTTTGATACCCTTCATTCTTATCAGTGTCTTGCTTACAAGATTGCATCTTGTAGGAATGCGCCCTTTTTTTGTGTTACCAGCTTTCTGTAATTGTGGTCTAGCAAAGTACGTTGCCTGTAGTATGTGTTGACTGTAAAATTTGTAAAAATATGCTTTGCATTTTTGCATTTGGGGTTTTCAAGATTAAATTGCTTCCATGCTATAGGAACATTCCTTTTGAATTTATGTACAGGTCATGGGGCATTAATTGTTTGAGTTTGATGAGTTCATTTTATCAGTTTTTTTTTAATTATTATTAATTGCTGCAAATTAGCACATTCAATTAAAAGTCCTAATAAATTCCTAGTCCTAGTAGATTCAGATTTGTGCTTGAGACCTTGCCCAATATAGTGACCTGTGCTGGTTTCCTAATCACAAGTCCTTGTGCTGAAGCACTAGGAAAATATGCCATCAAGCTAGTTTCCATTCAGCACTACCCAAGTAGACTTGGCTCCATTTACATGCTTATGCTGTTTCGGACATATCCCGGACTCTGGCGCAAGGCCCCACACCCGCATGCAAATGTGTGACGCTTTGCAGTGCTGGCAGACAGCAGATCAAACATAACCATGAGCCCAGCCATTGATCTTATTCTGTCAGCTGGCCCGATAGTAGCAGCTGGTGGTGGGGCGGGGAAGGTTGGGTGGTTAGGCGAGGTCAGGAATGCACTGACTGTACTCGCACAATGGAAAAAAATGATGCCCATTGGTCACTTACGTTTATGGTGGACACGGTGACGACAAGTAATGACAGCAGTTTTGCACTATCCAAATGAATAGCCTAGCCTTATATGCTGAAACGAATGCTTGACGTGACCTTATGTTTACCACCTTGTTGCCCTTCCACCAAGTTATGCTATGACAACCTCTCTGAAGCAATGCTTCCAGGAACTCCCGACTCGTCATCATTCCAGAAAGTCAGCGTGCGTGCTAAAGCAAGCTTTTATCGACTCAAGCTAGTAAAAGCTTTCAAATGCTTCAGCTTTAGGGTGACCTGAAGCAAAGTGGTCCCTTGTGCACTGGGGAACAACAGAACATGATTTACTATGTAACTTATAACTGACTGGTCAGTGCATCTTAGCTGTTTAGCCATGGTGTTATGTAGCATGCATTTTATCACAGCAATCCAGGACAAGCCCCCAAATAGATCACCTCCTAGAATTCACAAGGCCTCAGATTATTGGAAACCTCTACATGTAATAAGTAAAAGGTTGCTGGTGTGGTTTTGCATCAAGATATTTAAGTAAGAACACCTCATGGACAGTGTGCAATATCAGTGTACAAGACGTCTAATGAGCCTTCAGTGTGCTGACGCACTGCAAACGTAACCCAACCAACAAGTGATGCACCTCAGAAAGTTTCATGTAAGTTCTCAGGAACATTAGCATGCCATTAACATTACATTGCGTGTAAACACATTCTCGTTCTTAGTGCCAGATAGGTTAACAAGAGTACAAAAATAGACCTCTTCAACTAATTAATTAGAACGGCTGCACATATCAAATAACCTGAACTGCTAAATGCAGACATGACTAAACATGGACTGCATCAGTCTGTGTTCACCTCTTCACATTAAGAGTTGTTAAATTAATAGTATATAGAGGTTGAGAGTTTGTTCCGTGATTCAATGGAAAGTGCTGTTCCTCCCACTGGACATTGGATACTCTGATGTTAGCTACTATTAGGTTTTTCTCACTATGCTTAACGTCGTTTCAACCCCTGGTTAAGCAACGGTTCAAGCTTCATTTTTAATCATTACAAAATTGTGACGTAAAGCACCTCAAAGTAATGCTTGATGCAAAGAATGGTTAAGGTTTTGCCGATTAGCATGGTGCATTAGCCCCTGCTGGTAGATGATTGTAACTACACCATACGTTTTCATTGATGGCCATTAAAATTTAGCCATGTAAAATTGACTGATTTATTTAACACCTCATTTTTGTTTCTTTTTGCTGCTTTTGGCATCACAACTGGATAGATGCCAGCAAACAGGTTGGGATTTTACAGTGTGTACATTGTCATTCAATGTACATTGTCATGTGTACATTTGTCATCCAAACAGCACTGTGGCCATGTCATTTTGCTGTGGCTCTAGAGTGATTAGTCACATGGCTGGCTGCAAAAACAAGTGCTCATGAGCAAAGACGGCGGATTTCACATGCATACTTCTATGGGGTTCCACACCAGCCGAGCAAGTGCCATTGAGATGACTGGGAATGCAGACGGATAGGTTTATCCAGGTATTATATATATATACTTCCTTGGATGTAACTGACAAATACCGTTTTTTGAGTTATATTTATTTCATGCTAAATATACTGTAATTCTATTCAGATTCTGTCAGTTTTGCGTTGTCAAATTCTTGCTTCATAATACTTTCGTAGCTGTTTGACTGTCAACTAATGAGGAACTGAAAGGCGCACAAAAAATAATAAATTTGCATGAACGAATTACATTTCCTTTGAAATCAAGCAATTTAAGAATCTTGAAACATACTTTTCCGGTATGTAACACTAGGTATGATTAATATACTTGTAAAAATACATCTTGTTTTAATGCTAAACCTCACCAACTCTTGAGTCTTGAACCTAAATAATCATCAACCATTTTTAATAATGCCTTGACTTCTAAAGTCACTAATTAAGCAACATAAGGACCGTATTCAGAAGACAAGCTTAACTGAGCAATCTCGTTCAGGAGCAGGATTACCTTGTGTCTAGGAAACCAGCAATGTTTTAGACTTGGATTAATCAAGCTTTTTTCCAAGAACACTTCATAGAGGTCATACACTGATTCCTTCGGCAGGGCCGGACTGGGACAAAAATTTAGCCCTGGCACTGTAGCCACACCGGCCCACATTACCACACCCACGGACACGCACATTCACTACTTACATTTGTGTACAGATGGTGAAATAATATAAGCAGTACCATATATGTAACAGATATTTAAACATTTAATGTAAGTGTCTGGCAAACAATGCTTACTACTTTTTAAAGAGCACACGTTTATAACAAATTTACACATACAGTAAAAACAAAATAACAAGAATCTGAGGATGTTGTAGAGTCTGTGTGCTGTCTATGTCATTTGTCTGCTGTTACTGTCATTCTCTACAGCAGTGGTGCCCAACCCTGTTCCTGGAGATCTACCTTCCTGCAAAGTTCAGCTCCAACCTGAACTCTGCAGGTAGGTAGATCTCCGGGAACAGGGTTGGGCACCACTGCTCCTACAGTATGTTGTTCTTTGTTGTCACTGTCTGTTGGATTTTTTCTACCTCTACCACACTCCTCCCTGTCACTGCTAGGCCTACCGTAGCATCCTCCCTCACAGCACTGCTATTGGAAGACCAGGAGTCTCTGGCTATACTGATTCCAGCAACATCCTAATTAATGAACAAAGTATAGGATGTAAACATTACAGCAAAATATTTTCTCACTGACTGCTCTCAACATTGGAATACACATGAATACAAACAAATAATAATATCACAAAAGGGAATAGAATGTATAGCAAAAACTATAAATAGTAGCAGCAGTAATAGCTGTGTGTGTGTGTGTACCAACAGATTTTTACATTTTTAAATTCTTTTTGATATACAATTATTTGTGAATTAAAGAATGCTGAAGTGTTGCTAGTATGTGCTGCATGTGCATTTGTGTGTGTGTGTGTGACACATGCACATGTTCCTCCTATCCTAAGGGTTCATTAATAGTTAATTAGAGCCACATTTTTAAGAAACTGGCAGCATCTGTATCAGGGTGTGTCTCTCTCATTGTGTCTTCCTACCTCCATGATACTTGACTCTGCTGCAGCAGCTGAGCTGTCTGGGTCCAGCAACATTCTAGTTTTGAATAGATGAACA